GGGTGGAGGAAGAGGAAGATTTAGGTGTTCGTGCGTTTTTTTCTATGGCTGCTTGTGCACTGGCGCCGAAGTGTCCGCAGGCGTTGTGGTGCACGCAGGCATTGTGGTGCACACCTCGGCTGTGATGCACACGGCTGCTGTGGTGTACAAAGGCACCGTGGTGTACCCAGGCGCTGTGGTGCACGCAGGCGCTGTGGTGTGCACAGGCAACCGGCGCTGTGTTGTACGCGTCTGTTGCGGTGCACGCAGGCGCTGTGGCGTACACAGGCGTTGTGATGCACGCAGGCTGCTGTGGTGCACGCAGGCCCCGTGGGGAGGCGCAGATCTTGGGGGCCCGGTGCCGTAAGTCTTCGGCCATGTCGAGGTCGTCCCGGTGAGTCCTGAGTCTATCCTAGGGTATATCGGAGACATATTCGGCGAACTACGGGAGCCATCTTGGGCCCTCGTTGGGCCGTCTTTCAGGCAACCCTGGGCCATCTTGGGTGCCGGAGAGGCAGGGGCCACACAGCTCCCCGGGCGCTTCTGTGTACGCCTCTGGCCCGCTGGGTCGGCGAATTTGGAGCAGGGGATGGCGATACCAGATGGCCTTCCGCAATCGTGCACAACGGATCCATGAAATAGTCCGTGCATGTATACGGTTCCCGCCGTAACCGGGGTGACCTTGCGTCCGTGCCTCGCTGATGTCACTTGAAGGGTCGTGTCTCCTAATGTCCGCTTTCCCATGTGTGCGCCCCCGCTGGTGGACTGTATCATTTCCGCGGGGTCGGTCGTGCACCATATCGTCAATTCAATAATGACGTGTTTGACATGGATTCTTCGGTTTTGTTCGGCGTCATTCCGTAATCGTTGGGGCTCAAGCCGGTCGTGTTGCTCAGCTTCTGGTACTTCTTCGCTAGCGCACGATGGGACGGTCCAGCACGCCAGGTGAGCCTTCCGATCCTCGGCGTTCTCTCTCTGCCCCGTCGGCCGGCCTCCCCGCAGGAGCCGGCGGTGGCCTTCCTTACCCGGTCGAGCATCCGGCTCCCGGGCCGCCTCCTCACGCCCCGCCGGCCGGCCTCCTGGAAGGAGCCGGCGGTGGCCCACCCCCTTCCCCGGTCGAGTTCCTCGCTCCCGGGTCGCCGCTTGCAGCCCCGTTGGCCGGCCTCCTTGCAGGAGCCAGCGGTGGCTTGCAGCTTTCCCCCGTGGAGCCTCCTGCTCCTGCGGCGCCGCCGCCCGCCCCGCTGGCCGGCCTCCTTGCAGGACCCAGCGGTGGGTCGCCCCCTGCCTCGCCCGAGCCCCTCCCTCTCGGGAGCCCGCTTCCAGCTCCGCCGGCCGGCCTCCGTGCAGGAGCCGGCGGACACTCGCAGCCTTCCGCAGCGCCTCCGGCTTCCAGGGCTCCGCTTCCCGCCCCGCCGGCCGGCCCGTTTGCAGGAGCCGGCGGTGGCTCGCCCCCTGCCTCGGCCGAGCTCTGCGCTCCCGGGATGCTGCTTTGCTCCGCCCGAACGGCCGTCCTCGCTGCAGGAGCCGGCGGCGGTTCACTACTTCCCCCAGCAATGGCTCTCGCCCCCGGGGCGCCGCTGCTCGCCTCGCCAGTTGGCCTCCCTGCAGGATCCAGCGGGGGCGCTTCACCAACTGGACCGCTCGCTGGCGACCCCGCGGATGCTGCCCCAGAGAAGAGCCGGAAGGTTCCTGCCGGCGGGGCGACGCTCGCTTCTTCCGCCGGTCGGACAGAGAGGGACCTGACCACATTGGCCGCGGAGCTGAGCGAGCCTGCCGGAACTGAGCGCGCCCCGCGTCAGCCGAGGCTGCGGGTGCTGGCCAAGCAGTTCGGCGTGCAGCTCCGGACGGGCGGGCGCGGGGCCCCCTTCAAGACGGGGCCCGAGCTGCAGCAGGAATTGTCGGAGTTGATCGCAGGCAGGCTCCGCCAGCTCAAGAAACGGGACGAGGGCACCGTGCGGCCGCAGGTCGCTGAGCGCTTCCCGTGCTTCGCATGGTTGACATCGACGGTTTTCGGCAAGCTGAGTGGCACGCCGGCCCCGGAGCGCCGCGAGCGGATGCTCACAGAGGGCAAAATGACCTGCGCCGCATGCGTGGCCACGACGTCTGGGAGCAAGAAGGGGGGCCTTCTGCATGACGACGGCCCGACATGCTTCCTGCAGGCGGAGTGGTCCAAGGAGAAGATCACAGCGGCGTCCGACGGAGGCGCCCGAGCCGCCAAGCGCCGGCGCGTCGCGGCTGCGAGCGCGCCCGGCGACGACGGTCACCTCGCCCGCCTGATGTACGACCTCCGTTGCCTTCCTAAGGACGACTTGCTGCGGATCCGGGATTTCGCCGACAGCCTGGCGCAGGAGAGCTGCCAGACCGGCTTTCCACTCGGCGACGAAGACTTCCTGTTCCCGCCGCTGGATCTGCTCGGCGGCCGGTTCCACCCGCGGGCAGACGTCTACAATCGCGCGCTAGAAGCTGTCACCGTGAATTTCGTGCCTCGCTCCCCCATGGTGTTCGAGCCTGGGGCGCTCAGCGCCCGGGCGGGCGCGCCCGCGTGGTTTTCGTTCTCGAGCTTCCACGAGAGGTGCCGGACGATGGTCGAGTTCTTCCAGCGCCGGGACGCCTTCGATAATCTTCGAGGCATCGAGAAGCAGTTGGCAACGGCGGACCTCGCCTGCTACAACTGCGTGAACCCGGGGCGCCGACGGGCCGCGAAGGCGACCGGGTGGATCTATGCTTTCTACAGACAGAAGGTCGCCAAGCTGTTGGAGACGCCGGAGGCCCACCGGGCTGATGTTGTAGCGGAATTCTTGGTCAACGTGGTGCTCGTCCGCAACACGCTCTCGGTCCACGTCCGCGACGCCCTCGCCGACGGCACGTTCGTCTGGCTGTCTCTGAGGCAGGGCCAGATCGCCAACATGGCCGATTTGGATGCTTTCTTTGCTCGGTGAAGTGGTCGGTGAAGGCCCGCTTCCGCCTCACTACGTCTCCGTCTTCCCCCGCCGTTCCGACGGCTCCGCCGCCACCCAGGAGGTCTCCTTTTTGTCCGAACATGTGGACCCCTTGACGTACCCGCTCGTGCACGTAGAGGGGACACTCGGCTACTCCCCTGCCTTGCACACCGACGCAGTGGGCCGCAGGAAGAGGCGAAAGATATACATGCGGGAATTCTACGCACACCGCCTGATGCAACGGGAACCACCGGAGTCGCCATTCGTAGAACTGCCGCACGCTGCCGGTCGCTTATTCCAGCAATACGTCGTAGACGCGTACGCCAAGGTCGAAAGTCAACGTCTAAACTGGGTCGTCAACAACCAAGACAAATTGCGGGTAGACTCATTGCGCGGCCTGCTCGACCACCTGCACGAGAGCGACGCGTCCCGCGAGAAGGAGACCATTCCTGATACGTCGAACGCGCACGGGACACCTGCCCCGGCCCCTCCCAAGCTGGCCGGGACGCCCGTCGTGCTGCCAGCTTCCTTCGGCGGCTCACCCAGAGCGCTCCACCAGTTGCACCTTGACGCAATGGCCTTGGTGGCAGCCAAGGGACGCCCGGACCTCTTCATTACGATGACAGCCAATCCGAATTGGAAAGAGGTGCAGGCAAACCTGCGGCACGGGGAAACGGCTGCAAACAGGCCCGACCTGATAGCGCGCGTGTTCCACGCCAAGCTGAAGCGCCTGCTTCACGACCTCACCCGCAAGCACGTTCTTGGCAAAGTGGTAGCGCACACATGGGTGGTGGAATTCCAGAAACGGGGCCTGCCACATGCGCACATTCTGGTGATTCTTGCTGAGGACGACAAGCCCCGATCCCCTGCTGAGGTCGATCAGCTCGTGTCGGCGGAGATTCCAGATCCATCGAAGCAGCCCGCTCTCTACGAACTCGTCGACCGCCACATGATCCACGGACCCTGCGGCGCTCTGAACCCCCACTGTCCGTGCATGAAGGACGGGCTCTGCACTAAAAAGTATCCCAAAGCATTCCGGGCAGAGACGAATGTCAACATCAACGGTTATCCGCATTATCGTCGTAGAGAGACCACGCCTCTGCGCACCGTAAAGAACGGCGTCCTCGACACCCGTAGCGTCGTGCCTTACAACCCGTACCTGCTCGAGGAGTTCGATTGCCATCTCAATGTCGAGGCGTGCACATCACTCCGGCCTATTAAGTATTTATATAAGTATACTTACAAAGGCCCAGACAGGGCGTGTCTGCAGCACGTGCGGGATGAAGTACAAGAGTTCCTCGATTGTAGATGGGTAGGAGCTCCGGAGGCAACGTGGCGTCTCCTGGGGTTCCCGATGCACGGGCGCAGCCATCAAGTAGAGCGTCTGCCGGTGCATGTGCCTCTCGAACAAGCCGTCCAATTCAAGAGTGGCGAGGAAGCGTCCGCAGCAAACGCGGCTCTGGCACGCCACACCAAACTCGAGGCGTGGCTGGCGCTGAACGCCCTAGCGGCAGCAACTCCGGACATGCAGGACAGCGACCTGGTACTGTCTATGAAGTATTCCGAAGTATCGCAGCATTTCAAATGGGACGCCAAGCACTCTCGATGGCTTCGGCGACGAGTCCGCGCCCGGAACAATGACGTGATCGGGCGCATGTCCTATCCTGTTGGCTGCCGCCACGCCCCCCGAGGACCCTTCGCAGTGGCCCGAGGCCGGCTGACCAGAGGGCGAGTCCCTCCAGCGCGTTCCGGACAGGCCTCTCCGGAACGCGCTGGGGACACACCCCACGGCGGATTCCCCCTGCAAACGCGCTCCGGCATCCGACCTTCAGCCACAGCGCGTTCCGGCGAGCTCCCGCCGGAACCCGCTGGTAAACCTTCCCAGCCGCAGCCCCGCAGAGGCCGTGGCGGGAGGCCCTAGGGACATCGAACAGAAATTATAGCATCAGCGAGCCCCCCCTCTCACCCCGAAGGTCGGGGCATCAGGTTCGGCTGGGGCGGTCTGTTAGGTAGTCAGCAAAGGTCCAGAGTCCAACGCCCTCAAACCAGCGCAGACCTGGTGCGCGGTCGTGAAGCCACAAGCTGGGGAGTTGTATTACCTCCGCCTGCTCCTTCTCCACGTGCGCGGTAGCGAAGCCACTTCGTGGGACTCGCTGGCCCGGTCAGGCAGCGGTGACGGGCCTCCGTCTTTCCAAGCACACGCACGCGAGCTCGGGCTCCTGGCGGACGATGTGGAAGCCATCGCCGCCCTGACGGAGGCGTGCCGGATTGTACGTAGCATGTCGCGCATATGTGAGATGTTCGCCCAGTTCCTCGTGTGGATGGACGTCAACAACAAGTCCGATTTCTGGACGACGTTTCTACAGTTATTATCAGAACATCACTGCGCTGTAGACCCGTCCGTCGTGTACCGCGCTGTCGACGAGCATTTGGTAGTGTACGGCTGCACGACGCAGGCCTTCGCCATACCGCCCCCGTCACCCACGGCGACCCTCCTGCCAGAGGAGCGCGCGGCCCAAGAGTACAGCCGGGAATTGCGCAGTCCCGCAGAAATGTGCAAAGAGAAAGACCAGTTCGACAAATTGAGTCTGAATGGCGACCAGCAGCCCATATTCGATTTCGTGCAAGCAAAAGTAGATGGCACTGCGTCGCCAGAAACTGCAAACGTAGTCTACATTGACGGCCCTGCTGGAACCGGGAAAACCCACGTGTATCGCAAAATCCTCCATTACGTCCGCATGACCAGCCGAATCGCGTTGGCAGTCGCCATGTCTGGCATTGCGGCTCTGCTGCTCCCCGGCGGGCGCACCGCGCACTCTCGCTTTCGCCTCCCTGTGCCCGTTCCCTTACCCTGAGGTCCTTAAGATCGGAAACTTTCGATCTTAGACAAGAGGATCGATATAATGATCCTTTTGGTGTGTTAGGATCAATAATTCGATCCTGTAGTTAAGTTGTCGTGCGTTGCGGTGTGATCGTTTGAAAAAAAAAAAAAAAAAAAAATCCTCCTCTCTCTCTCTCTCTCTCCTCCTTTACTCACATATTGCACCAGTAATTAGCACAACATACAAACACCACGAAGACACATAGCGCATCCGTGCATCGTGGTTGAACATTGGCACTCGGCCTGCCCCGACTGGTGATCCGATTGCATCGCACGGGCTGTCCCTGATCTGCTTGTGCTTCGTGTCCTTTGGATATTCGAGGGCAGACCACCCCCGCCACCCTTGCCCCAACCTATCTGGTCCACCGTTGCCATTTGGGCTGTTCAGCGTGGGTCAAGCCAGCGATTGCATTCGCTTGTGGACTTTCAGTCGGCGGGCGATGTCGACAGACGTGGAGAAGCTCGGTCGCTGCTTGGTTGACTTCGCGAAGGCGCCCTCCTTTTTCAAGGGCTCGGGTAAATCGGGGGGTTTCGGCAAGTCCTCCAACATCCTGAGTCAGCATCGCACGTGGTCCGAGATATCTAAGGTGAGGCCTTCGCTGAGTTGGAGCAAGCCCGAGGCGACGGAGGCGATGGGGGTCGTGCTCAAGGAGTGCAAGGAAAATTGGAAGGAGTTCAATAAGGATGACGAGACGGATTGGCTCAGCAAGATGCCGAATCGTTTCAAGTTCGTTTGCAGGGCCATCAACCAGGCGAGGCTCAAGAAGACGAGCAAGTGGGTCCACAAGCTCGGTCTCGCCGCCGCTTCCAAGGAGGGCGCCGCGGCGCAGGCTACAGATGTTGACGGGGATGCGCAAGCCGAGGATGGCGAGGATGAGCCCGTCGAGGACGAAGGAGAGGAAGAGGACGAGGCCGAGAAGAACGACGAGGACGACCTACCGCTTTTGCAGCTCTCCGAGGCTGCTGTCAAGGAGCCCGACTCCGACAAGCAGCAGGGCGTCGACGGCGCCGTTGGCGCGTCCGAGGTGGGGGCCCAAAACGTACTCAGAACAGTGGAGCGGTTGAGTAGGGCTTCGAGCGTGGGTGGTGGTGAATGTGGTAGGTGTTGAGGGAATGCCTCCCCCGCTCACCACCGCCCGCGCTCGAAGCCCGACTGTGTCGCCACTGGCATGCGTGCGTTTTGGGCCCAATAAGGGCGCTGGCGCGCCAGCTTCGTCCGCCGACGGCCAACATTGCGCCCGGAAGGACAGCCTCAAGCATGAGGGCAAGTGCGTATTGGGCTTCTGCCGCGAGCACATGAAGGCGTGGAGGTGCATGCCAGGTCAGAAAAAGGAGTTCACGAAGGACGTCAAGAAGCCAGAGGGGTCCACGCCAGAGGACCCAACCTTGGCAACGTGGTCCGATGGTTTCAAAGCTCGCATCTTCCAGTTGAGTTGCGCCGAGTTCGACGCGATCGAGGACACCGAAAAGGTTAGCACCTCCAGGGGTACGTATGTCTGGGAGACTCGCCCGACGGAGAACTCGCGCATCTGGGTGAGCAGGCCTACCTCGAAGAACAACGTGTTCTGCGTCCACTCCAAGGTCGACGGGTCTCAGAGCCAGATGTGCCAGGTCAAGGCGACGGCGTTCGGGGATGACGAGGAGCAGATCAAGGAAGCCGAGAAGCTCGCAGTGAAGCTCGCTCAGAAGTTGGCGTCCACGGAGGACACAACCAAGGATATGCTCAAGGAGCTCAGGGACAAGGCGCTGCCCACGCCCACGAAGGTCAAGAGGCTGGCGAGCCAGACCGACGGCAAGCAACCAGCACCGAAGAAGGCCAAGAGCAAGGCGAAGGCCATTCCACCCTGTCAGGCGGAGGCCGCGCAGCCCGTCGTGCCAGCCGAGCCCGTCACGCCAACGCCCGACGAGGGGAAGATCACGGATTTGCCAGGGAGCGCCTCGGCCAACGAGTCCGAGTCCGAGAAGGCGGCCATCTCACACAAGTGCGGGTTCTGCGGCGAGGAGCCCACGTGCCTGGACATCTTCAAGAAGTACAACTTGTGCACGGCGTGCTACAATGAAAATATATTTGGTTGAGGCCTCGAGCGAACGTCGCCGTTCGTAGTAGCTCGGATCGGCGCGAGCGCCGATGCTGCTGGCGGCTCAGCCAGCTACGCGCCCAGAGGCATCTACAGTCATCCCCCTTTCTCGCCACCTCTCCCTCCGTGTCCGAATCCCGTCCAGAGTTATCATCCCTTCTCCTCCTCCTCCTTCCTCCTGCTCGCCTTCCTCGTCTGCTCTAGGGTTCAAGCTTCCTGGATCCTCAACACGGTCCTTATGCAATACGTGATTTCGACGTTCCTGAGGGGCTCTTGAGGGTTCCAGAGGCCCCGAGGAGCTTCGTAGGAATTCCAATGGTCTCGAGGGGCTTCGGGGTGATCTAAATGACCCCAGCTCCTGGCTCGCTCCATCCTCCTCCTCCTTCTGGCCCCTGGCGGTCCCGACAGGACGTGGGAAAGGGGCGATTTTCCATGGCGTGATTGCCCATGCCAGCCGCGCCCCAGCGGAGAATCACAAGGGGCAGGGGCGCGGGGGTATATTATTGGCTATGGCCTGCCACTCCGCAACGCCCCAGAAAATGAATGGAAGCAGGAGGAGGGAGGAGGAGAAGGACGAGGAGGAGGAGGGGGAGGCGGAGGGAGAAGGAGGTGGAGGGTAACTAGGAAGAAGAGGTGGAGGAGTACGTCGAAGAGAACTGATCTGCCGTGGTCTATGATGACAGAACGTCTCAGCAGTCGTCAGCCTCGTCTCACCCTCGGCCGTAGCCGTTTTGGCTCGAGATTCGTGTGCGATCACGTCTGGCTTCAGTTCGGTCCGTTTCCAAAGATGACCGACTGCGTCGGCGCATCAGAGGGCCCGCCGTCATGGGCGAACCAATTGATGAGCATTCAAGTCACGGACTCGGTGCAAGGTGCGACCTCGGCAGCCGAAGCACTGCTCAGAGCCGCGGCGATGGACGCTTCGAACATGATTCCAGAGGAGAAGTACAGGAAGGAGGACGAGTCGGCACCGCCGACGCCCATCGAGGAAATGCTGGCCCAAGCGTCCGAGGAGAAGAAATTGCCGACGGAAGCGAACAGCGAATTCAACCGGTGGTGGGCGAAGGAGCTGGCGGCGAACACGAAGCTCAAGCAAAATTACAAGCTCGTCGGCAGGGGTTACGAGGCGCAGCGGAAATTCAAAATTGATTGGGCGGGCCAGCGATCTGTGCAGATGAAGGAGGAGCGCACGAATACCTCCGAGTACAGGCAGGTCGATGGCATGAGGGGTGAGTACTTGCCGCTCTCGATACACGTCAAGAAGGAGGGCAACGATGCGATGGCATTCATTGCGGTGCAGAACTACGTGAAGAATATTGCGACCTTTGTTGCCCAAGGCAAGACCTACAAAGGACGGCCCTGGATTGTCTTCGACAAGCTGTACAACCGCGTCAAGTTTTTGAGGATCCAGGAGTACTTTGACGATTCGAACCAGGAGTCCTGGTCTAAGACCACTCATTTGCTAGATGAAGGTTCCCGCATGCACTCGGAGGCGCCGTCTCGGAGCCAGGCCACGGTAGCTTCGTCGGCATCTGCGGGTCGGGCACCAGCAGGCCCAGCTGCACCTCCAGCTCTCCCAGCGCCTCCAGCGCCTGAAGCAGCTGCAACCGGCCCCCCGGAGGTTCCCGAGCAGAAGAGGAGGAGGGTCGGGACGGCCACCGCGGCGAAGTCCGAAGCCAAGGGCCTCGGCGAGGTCAAAGCGCAGCCCGAGGACGACTCTCGTGCAGCAGCAAAGTCCTTCAAGACGGTCGTTGCGGAGGCGATGAAGATCAAGCAGAAGATGGAGAAGGTCAGCACGGCGGCGTCGGACCTCCTTCAGGCCATCACCACGCAAAAGGAGTGGCATTGGGCTAACAACGACGCCAACCTGAAGGACCTGACCACGCAGCAACTCCTTCTCGGCAAACTCAAGACGAAGGACAAGTTCTGGTGCGCGTGGACCGTGCAGTCTGACTGGGCCAAGAATGTCAAAGTGACATACTCCGAGCCGACCATCGAGTCGAACTTGCAGGAGGGCCTCCCAGCGATGCAGACAGCCATCAACGATCTGAACGCCCAGATCACACTGTTGAAGGACATGCACCAGGCCAGGCAGAATATGATGATCAAGCGCTCCGCGGACTAGCGGCAATGCCAGGACTACGTCGAGGGCTTCTTGTACTGATCGGGGGATGCAGTACTCATGACGGTCCAAGCTATCCTTCAGCGGCTCGCGGTGCCACCGCATGCCTGCCCAAGCTCCTCTGTGCGTATCTGTCTGGCTTGAGGGGCGAATGATGAGGAGGAGGAGTAGGGGGAAGAATGGGGGAGGAAGGGAGGGAAGGGAGGGAGGGCGAGGGAGAGAGGATCCCCAAGAGAGAACGCACGCCAGTTCCTGCATCCGCTGCTGAGAATCACCCTCGGCAGGGAGGGCGCCGCCAAAGTGCCAGAGATATCGGCGTCGCTGCAAAGCGAGTTTGATAAATGCAACGTTGGATGCTGCCGTTTGGTGTTCCCGCCTATATCTACAAGAATTTTTCAGAAACAAAGCGTTTGACAACTTCTGAAAACTCCTGAAAACTCAACGCGCTGAAAACTCCTGAAAACTCGTGAAAACTTAGTTTTCACTGTGACTGTCGCTAAAAACAATAGTTTTCATGAGTTTTCAAGGTCACCCTGAAAACTCCTGAAAACTTGAAAACTCCTGAAAACTCTTGAAAACTACCGAGTGCTCGTCGCCGTCTCGCTCTTACTATAGATCAGGATGTCTGCTCTCAACGAAGTAACATTGGATGCGTCATGAGTATCTGAACGCCTGCTGCGGTGTGTCACGCGCCCGTTTCGCTGATGCACCTTCTCTTCAGCCCCCTCGCCTCACGGTAGCAATGACAGAAGTCGAAGAGCGGGCGCTGGAAATCAATGGGGGGTACGAGAACACAAGGGGCATGCGAGACAGAAGGGGCCAGGGGAATTCAACGGGGGTACGAAAACGGAGGTTTGGCTATTCGAGGTCGCTCTTCAGGGGGCGCTATTTCTGATCGCTCTTCTGGGATTGCTATTTCTGGTCGTTCACCCTTGGAAGCTGTTCGTGGTCCGCCTTTCTGGGGTACGTGGCTCGCCTATCTGGAGCGTGCCCCCTCCCCTCCTCGTCCTCTGGCCCACCCCCCTGGTAGAAACCAAGCCTAACACGTCGCGCAACTCGGGCATGCTGTTTTGGAGGGGTAAGCCGAGAAATACCCGCTACGCCCAAAAAGAAACGCACGCCCACCCAGAGAAAAAAAAAAGAAAACATAACAAACGACAACATCAACATCCAACGCAATACCCCTAGCCGTTTTGGCTCTGGCTCAAGCCCTTCGCTCAAGCTATCAGCTGGTGGCATGCCTGGTTGGGACGACGACGTCCCGCAGTGGGACAATTTCGATGATCTGATCAATGGTGCTTCCGACGCTGAGGATGATGGCGACAAAGTAGATTGGGGCGCGATCTCGCAAACAGAGGCTGGCCAGTCTCTCGCAGACTTGCTGCTCCAACTCAAGCACGAAGGGCACATTAGCTCCAAGCAGTGCTGGGGCGCGATCTCGCAAACAGAGGCTGGCCAGTCTCTCGCAGACTTGCTGCTCCAACTCAAGCACGAAGGGCACATTAGCTCCAAGCAGTGCTGCGTCATTGCGTTTTGGGCGGAAAAGAGTGGATCAATTGGGCCAGTGTCATCTTTCTCGTTGCGCCCCGACGCTCAGAGCGGGCACTACCAAAGAAAAATCGACAAGGTACTGTCAGATAACCTCGCAGAGGATGGATCTTTATATCAGCTATGGCTTCCGATGAACAGACGGTCCGACGCGAGTCGAGTTGTGGAGCCGCAACCAGTGATACCTGTGCACGAGCGGTTGTGGGATGAAATGTCGGGCTCACCTGAAATTGAACAGCAGCTTCGAGAAATGGTTGATCAGAATTTGCTACCTCCATCGTACTGGTCGCACCCCGTGGTGGTCTCTCATGCGGGCCCCAACCCTGTGCATCCAGTGGCGTTGTACCTCGATGGTGTACCTACCCATCGCCACGATGGGGTCGTCGCGGTCTATGCCTTCTCACTCGTTTCGAAAGTTCGCCATTTGGTGGCCTCCCTACGGAAGCAGGACATCTGCAAATGTGGATGTCGAGGCTGGTGTTCTGTGTACGTGCTGCAGCTCTGGCTACTTTGGTGCGCCAACGCTATGGCGTGTGGGCACTGGCCTGATCGGCGACACGACCAGAAAGCATTCTTGGATGACAGCGACTCCGTCCGTGCGGCCTTTGCTGGATCAGCTGCCCCTGCCATTTGTGCTATCATGTTTCTAAAGGGCGACCTGATGGAGTATTGCGCGACTTGGGGATTACCATCGACAGGTACCTACCTATTTGGCTGTCCTTTCTGTCATTGGCCTGGCGACGACAGTCTCGATGATGGGGCCGGCTTGTCTGCAGTAGGAGTTGGGTGGTTGGAACGAACTTTCGACGACTACCTTCAGGCGTGTGACCAGTGCGAAATCAGAGTTAACTTATCTCACGAACAGCTGATGTTGGTTCGGGGGGCGCTCCGATATGAAAGGAGTTCCACGGGCCCGCGCGGCCGAGCACTCCGACGAGACTTGCCGTCGCTGGGACTCAATAAAGGTGACAGGTTAGAGACGACGCCAGACCGCCCAGATATAACGTGGATCGACGACATCAGCGGGCCAGTCGACGACGTCGTATTCTGGAGGAGGTCTCGTGAGACGATCGCCAGGAGGCGATGTCCTCTGTTTAGCGCCCAGCTGGGCATAACGCCTCAACGATGTTTCGGCTTAGACTGGTTGCGCGTCTGCAGCTTGGGCGTGTTCAAATTCTTCTGTGCATTCTTTGTTCGAAGCTTGTTCCAAGCAAATGCTTGGGGGTCACCTCATACAACACAAGATGCCCGAATCGAATTCAGTGTGCAAATTATGCGTGATGAGCTCTTCAGGTGGTACAAGAAGGAGCGCGACGATGGCCGTGAGC